CCCCAAAACCCCAAAACCCCAAAACCCCAAAACCCCTTAAAAGATCATTTAAATTGAAATAGCACTAGCATCTATACTTCTTCTGTCATATTCAAATTTGTTTCTATTTTGAGCCTGGTACTCTCGTCACATTCCTCCTCATCTAAGTTGGTCTTTTGCAACTCGATGGTCTCTGGTGGGGTGTGCAGTCCTTCAAGCTTGACAAACTGCTCTTTGTAAGATATCAAGCATTTCATGATTCCGAAGCAAGCAAAGGTGACTCAGCCTAGCATTCACAAGAATATGAAGACCATGCCGATGGCGATGAGTGAAATGTCAACTTCTTCTTCGATAATTTCCATGTCTTGGCTGATGAAGCCAGACCCGATCTTGGTCCTGGTATACGAGAATGTTCCACTCCTAGACTTCTGATGGTACACGTCTTGACTCAGACTGGCTTGCCAGGTCCTTATCACGTCTTGCAGCAAGAATCAGCTGAAGTAGTACTGCAGCGATATCAACATGAAGTGGATCACAACCACGATCACAGTCGTGCTGATCATTTTCTGCGACAGCTGCAAGTTCTGGGTTTGTCTGAGCTTTATTAAGTAGTATCGACCTTGGAACACAAACAGCAAGTCTCTGAGTGCAGTGAACAAGCGTTCTCCGAGCAAGAAGCCTTGTGAAATGTCTATTTCTTCGCGGTAGGACTCTCCTTCGATGACAACTTTCTCAGGCTCATCAAAAACAATGTCATAGATCTGTTTGACAAATCCGAAGACTCCGACACCCACCAAAAAGTAGGCTACCAACCTGATGTGATTTCTCTTGACAACCAGAGCATTCTTGGTCTGGTGGATGTTGACTCGGTGTTGCTCGGCTTGTTGTTCAGGGGAAACATACCTAAACATGGATCTGATAGCTTACACTCGCTGACCATCTTTGACAATGGTTCCATAATCAACTTTATTCTGGATGGAGGTTTGGTATTTCTCTGAATCCATTAAAATATTTAATCTGTGTTAGGGGTTTTGGGGTTTTGGGGTTTTGGGG